TAGAGAAGATGCAGAATATAGTAGATTCAGAGAAGAGCAGATGCAGAGTAGATTCAGAGAAGAGTTGATTTAGAGTAGGGTAAAGAAGTAAGTTCAACGTATAGAGCAGAGTAGATTCAGAGTACAATAGAGTAGATTTAGAGTATGTAGATTCAGAGTAGATTCAGAGTAGATTCATCAGTAACATGAGGAGTGTAATAAAATTTGCAAAAAAAATATAACCAGCGATATTGCTGATGGTATTGGACATTTCGAAACGTCCGATCAACAACGAACAAGTACTTTCAGTTTTTGTGGAGATTCTTCTGCATTCTTATCAGTTCCCACAATGCCTATCAATAAAATATCGTCCCATTTCGTCGCGTTGAATGTAGACTAGTAGGTAAGGTTGAGGACGAGAGAAGAATCGTGCTCGTGGCTTCCAGTAATTGGGACAATGGGCCCCAATAAAGTCGGGTTTCGTGGAAGCGGTAGCCGAAAAAGGTGCGGTGCAATTAAATCGTAAAATACTATAAAATTACTTTTGAGAATTTTTATACAACGCCGTAATTCGCACACAAACAACCGGCCCCCCCTGTATATAGCGAGCGCCGGTGGGGGGGCGGCGGAGGGTGATTTACGAGCGAGCACGCTTCTCGTGGACCCGTCGAGTTTTTCGAAATACTGGGTCAGCCATAAAACCCGATTTTTCGGTACCGTGTAATTCGGTTAGAAAGTAGGTTAAGATTTTTTTTTTTGGGTCGTCGGAATATTCAGTTTACGGTAAAATTAATCGCTCGACGGGTCGATTAAATAATCACGTCTAGTAATCAGCGGGAGTGACAATTTTTTTTCGCCCCTTTTTTCCCGTATTTTCCGGTGAAAAGGGACAACAGTAACAACGGTCGACATAAACTAAAACGGTTGACAGATGGTCGGAATTGATATCACACAGGGTGGTTATAATCGATCAATCGGCCACAGTTGCATTCGTGAATAAATAATTCATTCGATGGCGAACGCGGCGGTACGTTCGCCGCCCGCCCTCCACCCCCAAACAACCCCAAAAAAACGGGAAAAAATACCAACATCCGCTGCAAAAACAATTCCTCTTATTTCTTTTAAAACCCTGATCTCGCCTAAAAATATTCTCAACGATATTCACAACAACCTCTCGGCGCTTTTTATCTTCAATTAAATTAATAAATACGCATAAGATGTCGAAGTTATTCAATGATTAATAATTTTCTCGAAATCAATCTGCTGTGTTGATTTCGAAATACAATTCGTCTAGTAGGTTAAAAACGTCACCTGTCAACTTCGATTAATCGGAATAAAAATTGATTCACCTACCTTTTCAACAATGCCTCTTGTTTCTTTTTAGCTTCTCGCTATCGCCAAAATAATCTCAACAATCTCACAGTACTTTTTATCTTCAACTGAAATAATAAATACACATAAGATGTCAAATTTAATTAAAGATTAAAACATTTATGTTGATTTATCGACGCGATCTGAAGTCGAAATACAATTCGAAATAACGCCACCTGTCTACTTCGATTAATCGTAATAAAAATTGATTCACCTACCTTTTCAACAATGCCTCTTGTTTCTTTTTAGCTTCTCGCTATCTCCAAAATATTCTCAACAATCTCACAGCACTTTTTACCTTCAATTAGATTAATAAATACGCATAAGACGTCAAAGTTATTCAAAACATTTTTCGAATAAACATTCATGTTGATTTATCGACGCGACCGGAAGTCGAAATACAATTCGCAAAAACGCCACCTGTCAACTTCGATTAATCGCAATAAAAATCGATTCATTAAGCGACATTCGCGAGCGTTCGTGTAGAGGCCGACTTGATTAGGCGATTAGCCGGTTTTGTGACGTTGCGAGCCCCTAATTACTCCGGCAGTTCGAACGAACCAACAGCGAGGTACACAAAGTCATCGGTAATTAACCGGAAAAAAATTATATTTGCGTTCGAAAATCGATGATCGTGCTCCCTGCATGGCGAACTCGAAAAATTAATCTAGTAACTTTCGAAGTTTCCAAATATAAAGTTGGTACCACTGACGTATTATAATAGATAGATTGATTTATTCGTTCACAAAGAGCGAATTTATGCAGTTTATCGAAAAGATTTTTTTTGGCCTCTTTCATCGAACGCGGGCCTTTTACTCGACGTGTCGTCGGCCAACATAATGGGGTTGGAGGACCGCAAACGTAATGAGATTTATTACCACGAATTCGGCCCCAAATATTTGTTCATCTTCGACGTTTCAGGTGCGAATTCGGGGGCATCTTGCTCGCATAAGAAAAGAGAAACGGCGTGTCCCTCGTTCGGGCCATTTGATTCATTCATTGCGAAAAATTCGTGTGTGTGTATACGAGGGAAATTTATCGTTTTTTTTCCCTTTTATCACCCTGTAGGCGCGACTTTTTCTATTTGTTGTGCGCTATTGGGACGTTTCAAAGGAATGTTTGACGTGTCGATTGAATTGTCAACGTAAATATAATACCGGGGCCGTGAGAAAAGCTCGAAAGAGTGTATACGAGGGGTAGTCGAATGGTTTTTTTATTGTGCAATAAACAGTACGTTTGAACTACTGTTGGGGACAAATTCATTCGAATGAAATTGAAATTTTTTATACGAGGGGATGTCGAAATGTTTTTTGTGCAATAAACAATGCGTTTGAACGACTTTTGGGGAAAAATTCATTCGAATGAAATTGAATGTTTGTATACGAGGGGAAATCGAAAAGTTTTTTGAACAATAATCAATACGTTTTAACTAATTTTGTGGAAAAAATCATACGAATGAAATTGAAAGTTTGTATACGAGGGGAGGTCGAAAAGTTTTTTTGTGCAATAAACGATACGTTTGAACTACTCAATTACTGTTGGGGTAATTTTTTTAAGAATGAAATTGAAAGTTACGAGGGGAATTCGAAAAGTTTTTTGAACAATAAGCAATGCGTTTGAACTATTTTCGGGAAACAATTCATACGAATGAAATTGAAATTTTGTATACGAGGGGAGCTCGAAAAGTTTTTTTGTGCAATAAACGATACGTTTGAACTACTCAATTACTGTTGGGGTAATTTATTTTAGAAAGAAATTGAAAGTTACGAGGGGAATTCGAAAAGTTTTTTGAACAATAAGCAATGCGTTTGAACTATTTTCGGGAAACAATTCATACGAATGAAATTGAACTTTTGTATACGAGGGGAGCTCGAAAAGTTTTTTTGTGCAATAAACGATACGTTTGAACTACTCAATTACTGTTGGGGTAATTTTTTTAAGAATGAAATTGAAAGTTACGAGGGGAATTCGAAAAGTTTTTTGAACAATAAGCAATGCGTTTGAACTATTTTCGGGGAACAATTCATACGAATGAAATTGAAATTTTGTATACGAGAGGAGCTCGAAAAGTTTTTTTGTGCAATAAACGATACGTTTGAACTACTCAATTACTGTTGGGGTAATTTTTTTACGAATGAAATTGAAAGTTACGAGGGGAATTCGAAAAGTTTTTTGAACAATAAGCAATGCGTTTGAACTATTTCTGGGGAAAAATTCATACGAATGAAATCGAAAGTTTGTATACGAGGGGAAGTCGAAAAGTTGCACCTATATAGACCCCATATCGCCTACTTATTCGCACTTATATGTATGTATACGGGCGCTGTGAGAAAAGTTCGCAACTTTGTATACGAGAAGAAGTCGAAAAGTTTGCAAGTGTTTATACGAGAGAAAGTCGAAAACGTTTAGTTAAATAAACAAAAACCGGATGCGTTTGACCTACTTTAGAGAAATTTGTAAGATTCGTTCAGCCACGCGTATCGACGTCCCTTATAAATTCGAAATTCGAGCGTTACGGGGGCACCATAAACACTCGTTATGCTCGTCGATTTTTCGATTCGCCACGGGCCAGTTTTCGCCATTGTGCCCGACCCGTTTCTAGTACGAAACAGGCCAAATATTTACGAAAAACACGGGCACCGTATACGAGGGCCGGTCGCTTTGTTTACGACGACGAGCCGTGACGGGGCGTCGTAAATACGGCGTTTCCACGGCGATCGACGTGTTAATAAGCCTCCCTCGATTTCTGCGAAAGCCCCGAAATCGACACACACACACAATAAAAAAAGATAGAATTTGAAGCGCGAAAACGGGAAAGGCGCGTCAAAGCGCTCCGTGGAAATTAATCATTTCGAAACATTAACAGCTGAATACCTGTCCGCACATTCTAAATATTTGCAGAGGATGCCCTGCCTGTTGCTTCTTTTTTTTTTTTTTATTTTCTCCTCGCTCTCTTTCCGCCGCCCTTTCGATTGTCCCTTTCGACCAGAGATGACTTGATATATCGCAGCGATTCTTTCGCCATCAAAGCCTGCTCCGATGCCTTTATACTAACGCGATTTTTTCCACTAAATTCACACCAGCTATTGTGTAAACTCCAATCTTGCCTAGTTAAATATTAAAACTACCCTTACTGCATACGTATAGTTCCCAGAACATTTTTTTTATTTTCCAGAATTTTACTCGAAAAAGTTGTTAGGAATTAAAAGATCCATACGCAGTTTAAAAAAAGTACCAACTTATAAGACACCCTGTATTATGTTATAGAATTTTGGGCATAATTCGAAGAGGGTGCGTTTGTGTGTAATAGAAAAATCTCTGTTTGAATAAGGGATGAGCACGCTCGTGTGTATAGAGTGATACATATACATGTAGTGGTATTGATTTATTATTCTCTATTTGTGTTGCTAAAAAGGTTTACGGTGATATTAGGAGAGAGACAAGGGGGTTTACACGTGCACCGGCACCCCGAAAATCGAGGGGATGCGAATTCGCAACCCTTCGTTGGGTCGGAATAAATTTTTTGATTTTTTTTCTTCTTTCGTTGGCTCGGCAATAAATAAGGAAACTCGTGATGTTTTAATAGAAACTCTTTATTTCGCTATACCGACGGCGGGAAGAAATACACCCACCCCCGTATAATAATCGTGTACAAAAATACCCTATTTATCTGCTATCACAATTGCAGCACATTGTCGAGAGGTTCTTATCGCGTTTTATTAAAATTTCTCAAATATCTATAACACATCTTCCATAAATATACAAATTATTTACAACAAAAAACTAGCGTCCGTATGTACAAATAAATATCGAAGAATTTATATTACAAATTTTACAAACGTTTTCTATCATATCTACCGATTATTGCAACGAATCGAATCGCAGCGTAACATCAAACAGAATCTAAAATTACCGCGATAATTTTAGTTCCTGCATCGCTCCTGCTACAATCTACCACATATTACGGATTCCCCAACGTTCCCGAAACATCCGCCACAACGGCAACGCCGCGACACCCAAACCATCACACGCAGCACTCCGTCCAATCGACCAATTCCAGTTCCTGCCGCAGATCTAATACGGCCTCCACACGGCCTTGATGGAGGAGGTCAACTTGGTGTCGGGCGAGCCGGCACTAACCGAAACGTTTTTGACCGTCCTCAGGGCGCCCGGGGCCCCCCTACGATCGCACTTGTCGGGCTCCTTATCGGCCACGGTGGAGTCCGGATGCTGGATCTCCTGCAGCAGCGTGCTGGCCGATTTGATGGGCGCGAAGGCGGACTTCACCACGTCGATGTCCTCCTCCTCGTCGGCTTCCGAAGAGGATTGGTTGTCCATGGTGGAGTGGATCTCGGTCTCCTGGGGCTGGTTCGCTGGCAGCGTCCGCAACGGTAGCTCCGGCGCCGGGGCGTACTGCGGCAGGAAGGTCGGGTTGGCGTGGAAGGCTGCTGGTGGAGGCGGCGGCGGTATGAAGAAGTCGTGGGGCGGGGGTTTGACGAGAGGCGGTTGCGGGGGGATGTTTACCGTGCGTCGGAGGTAATCGGGGAAGGCGTAGGTCATGTAGGCAGCGTCCAGCCAGCCGGGGTTCAGCAGGAAGGGGTTGAAGCTTCCGGGGATTCCCGGCATGCCGTAGCCGTATTGGTAACCTGGAATAGAAATTTGGAGTTAATAATAGTTGTATTATTCACCTGTACTGTGCGCAACATCTTCTGCGCACTACGTAAGATTTTTTTTTTGAAACCATATCGACCGCGGTGTTGCCGAGTGACGATCGTTTTATTTGATCTAAGGATAAGTTGGAAAATATGTTTATCGGATTGAGTTGTTCTTGTAGTGTGAATGTAAATTCCGGCAGATGTTTTGGTGCGTTTTTAAATTATTTTTGAGCACGATTAAATGCCGGATTTTCGAAATGCCGACAAACCCATGGAGAAGCATTAAAAATTTTATGATATGTTTATACGGCACGGCAGCGTATGTTTATGCATTGTTTTGGTTGTTTATCAAACATTTAAGAGATGTTAAAACGATCGTTATTGGCTTGTTGGCTGGTTTACAAAGAGATTTGTGTACGAACGAGGAGGTGGAATTTTATTTTTAGTTTTAAAGGATGTTTTTTTTTTCGTATGCGCTTGATTTATCGTTATTGTGATTTTTTAACACGTTTAATGACACTTTTAGATGAAAGAATTTCGATTGTTAATGTGGGATAATTTGAGTCGAGGTGGTTGATTTTATTAGTGTAAAGTAGGAGTCTAATTTTTTTGCAAAAAAACATTTTACTATTATCAAATCCATCCCTAAAATTATCCACATACATGGTGACATGATAGTTTAGAAATACTCAATGTATCTGTTATTGTAGATAAATAAAAAAAAACTTGTTAACAAAAATTGAAGATACTTTTATGCAGCAAGTTTTAAAATTAATTACATGTATACAAAGTGTTCTATTTATCCAATGAAATACACTTTTTCTTCAACTTTCCAAAAATATTGCACATTTTTACTATGGTGTGAAGGCTACAATTTATTTTCTTAGTACGATTTTCACGAAAAAGTGATCAAAACTTTCAAATTACTCAGTCCAATATCCCATTTTTGGATAGCTGAAGAGACAAGCTAAATTAATTTTGTTAAACAAAAACCAAGATGTTTCCTGTGACACTCTAATTAACACCCTGTATACAACCAATGTTAAAACATGTTGCACAAAAGTACCTACAAGTTTCTTAGATACCTTCTACAGTACTAGATACAACAGAAGATACTACAAATATGAGGCAGTATTTATAAAAAGAAGCACAACCTTTTGCTTCAAAAAAATGAAGGAATTGCTTCAAGGTATATGCATAAAAAGAAGAGAAGTTTTGCTTCGAAGACCCTGCTGTTGCTTCAAAGCACAAGGTTTAATAGTTTTAAAATCTTTGTATAACGTTTTAGAACTTTTTTCTCTTATTTATTTGCCTCTAACATTTACTTCAAAGTAAATGCTTTTATGAAATATAGACTATAGTATAGGTACTCACTGGTCTTAGTCCTGGGCTCCCTAGGTCCATCAACGGTCACTTTAATAGCCTTATTATAAGTAGCCATCTGATAGAACGGATTCGAGCTAATCGTAATCGACAACGTGAAACTCTTCCCTCTACCGCTCCTCCCGACGAACCTCAAATCGTTGAACTTCGCCACCTGGTTCTTCATCACCGCCGTGCAATTCCTCAACTCCGCGCAGAAATTCTCATCGTTGCCGGCCTTCAGCGTGACCACCGTACCGTCGGGCACGTCGTCCAACGCCACCACCTTAAACGCCACCGGCAGGCTCTTGTTGGACCTCCAGTGCGTGGGCAACACGCTGCACAAGATGGCAGGGCTGCCGGTCTGCACCAGCTCCCCGTGGTACTCCTGCAACGTCTCCTGCAACGAGGCGTACATGTCCGACATCTTCAGCAGGCTCTGGCTGGTCGGTAAATGCATCACAAACACTCTCTATCTAATCGAAACTGTTGCTATTCCTTCTTCGTAGATACTAAGTCGATTGGTGTTTGGTAACTTGTTGGTGGTGAACTGGGTGAGAAGCGTCGCTTCTCGATCCGAGAGTGGCACTGATTCCTCACTTTTTCAGAACGAATATTAACGCGCTTTAGGGATCGTTCCCCTTCCCACTGTGTTGTGTGTGCACTCTCTCCGAAGGAGGGTAGTTTTTAAATAGCCGGCGAAGGACGGAGAACGCGCCGTGGTGGGAGAAAAAATTATACCCGCTCGCTCTGCGGCCGGTTCGAATGAAAGCGAGACGGACGAGGACGGGCGATGCGGATCGGCCCGTCGCCCGACCGAGACGGAACGATTTTTTTCCCGACGCCAGGAGCGGATTTTTTATTTTTATTATTTTTTTTTTCATCAATCGCGTTTCTTAGTGTAGTTGTTATGACGTCGCGTCGCGTAGCCAATAGCGACGCTTCGTTTTGATGCAAATTTATTAACCGACCAATAAGATGCCTCGATTGGTGGTGACGTATGTTTAATGCAAGATACACTAGAAAAACTTGTTTGTTTAAATTTGTTATATTTCGATTATACTTTATAAGATTGTATGTAATAAATAGATGCGTTTTAATAATAATATTAGGTGTTTGAATGGAATGTGTAGTGTATTATATTGCTAATTCCCGCCCTGCAGCGTAATCACAGATCGTACTCGATTTAATCTCGAACCCCCCCGCCCTAGGAGACTAAAAAAAAAAACCCATAGAAATCGAAAAATCAAAAACCGAATACGGTCCAGCTAACGTGACGCCTAAAGCGGCGAGCGAGTGCGAGCGAGAGGGGGAGCGTCGCTGCTGCGCCCCCGCGACGCCGACGTCGTTAAAAACGGGCGAAGGGGGCGCGCGAGAGGGGGGGGCGCCCGGCCAATCCCCGGCGCGGTTTTTGAGGCCTAACCGTGGTTAGATCCTCCCCTGACATGCCGCACACGCCGAGCCGCCCCCCGCGTCCGCCCCCCCACCCCCGCGTCCCGACGCCTGATTTGGCGCGCGGGGCCGAAAAGGCGACTTGATGAAGTTCAGTTGCGTCCGCAACTCCGTCGAGGGCGGGCGGGGTGCGATTTGTTTGTCTTTCGTTGGGGGTTGATTTTGTCGGATTAGAAAAAAAATTGTCTAATTGATTGATTTGTTGATTTATCGTTTACTTACTAGTAATAAATTTTTATGCATAGTATACAGGGTGTTTCATTGGGAAAGGGCAATATTTTAACGCTATATAGAGGTCACCCAGGGGATTACAAAAAACCCATATACTAAGGGTCTTGCGCCCTTTATAACCGAGTTACAGGGTGTTTTTTGAATTTGGCCCATTTCTTTCGACACCTATAACTTTTGAATCACTCAGTATATTTTTTTTGATATTTGGCATAGATATTCAATACCTTTAGGACAATTTATTGCCACATTAAAAAATTACAAAATCCAGGTCCGGATTTAGAAAAATCATTAAAATTTGACCGACCCTAAAACAACACCCTATATATCATATTTTTAAAAATTGAATTTAAAATTTAGAAAGACCATAAAAAACTGAATGAATTCATCAACTTTTTATTTTCCCGCATGCCGTTTGTCTACCAAAATTTAAACGTTAAAATGTACATTATGAGATTTTTGATCCATGTAAAATGTAATTGAAGTGATTATAATTATTTTTTCTTTAATAAAACCAAGTTTACTAACCTCTTTCATGGAAATTCCTGAAATTAACCTATTGAACTTGAATTAACATTCACATAAACCAATAAAAATTACAATTACAGATCCGCACTTAATAAAATTAAAATGATTTCAATTCATTTAATAATTAATCACTGATTAATAAATTTTTACATTTCTACATGAGTAGTAAACTCAAGTAAACTTGAGTAAACACCCTGTATAGGGCTGTATTACACTTTTTGTATACAGGGTGTCTCATAAGTTGCTACTTTTTTTAACTGATGCGAATAGATCTTTTAATTCTAAGCAACTTTTTCAAGTATTTTTTTTTAAATTCTGGAATATAAAAAGATGGACATTTTAAAAATTCTTTAAATTTCGAATATTTTCCAATACATTCCTGTCATTATCATACAGGTGTCAAAAAATAATAAATAATGAATGACAAAAAATTAATTTTTCGATTGTTAAATTGAAAATGGCTCATTTTTATACAAATAATGAATTGGTGGACATGCTGATTATTTATGGAGTATTTCCAAAGCGTTTCCAATCAAAATGGCGACAATTTTGAGCAGTTCCTTCAACTTTTAATGAACAGGACCGTATTAACTAACTTTTTTAATAATTAAAAATTGAAAAAAAAACATGCTCTCTTATTTTCAGGGTCTTATTATACAGGGTATTCTAAAATGACGTGCTAATATTTAAGGTGGTGATTCTTGGGCCCATTTTCTTTCTTAAAAATACAGTATCTTAAATACAGTATGTCCCTGAATGGAGCCTCGAATTAAATCGAATTAAAAATAATCATCGATTCCTTAAAATAATGAATTTTAACATACATACAGATAGGTGTATTGCAACCAAATTTTCGACCAATTTCTCAACACCATCCGGGGTCACCCTGTACAATCGTAAATAAAAATCCTCTCGTACGAGGGTAGCAAATATTTGCGTTTCGCATCGGGAGCTCGAGCATAAGGTAAAGAATATTCCAATATTTGATTTATTCTAAAGGTATTATCTCGACTCGTACGGGTTAGAGTATGTATAAGGTTAGAGCGCGGGGGGTGGGCGATCGAGCGCATCATCCCCTTTATAATGCGTCGAATTATCGAACGCTCCTCGTACGAACGCGTTCGTTTGTTCGATTTACCTGTAATATTTCTCCGCGTGTATACAAAGCAAAGCGCACAATAGAATAAATAATATATTGGGATGGAATTTACGTTAGATTTGCGTAAGTAAATACCTATTTGCGATATAAGAAATGTTGGTTGTTAGATATTCGAAGCGGGCTGATTCGAGATAAAAGCGGCGTTGCCGCGCGTTGTAAGAAATCCGGGATGTCGGGATTTCCGGTAGCGATTTAATTGATGTCATTGCGATAATTACTCGTCCATTTCCGTAATTATGGGAGAAACAACGGTGGGGCGTTTTGAATGGAAATCGGGCGCGTTTGTCTTTCAAATACAAAGAAAAACGTCGACAATGGGCCGCTAACTTTTTCCAGTTGGAGTGTTTAATAACAAAAAGGCGAGGAAAATACGCGCATTATTACCGCTGGAAAAGCGCTTTGATTATTTCACTGTATATACAGATAAGTGCAAATTTGAGTGCAACAAACACATCTTCCATTTTTCTCGTGTAAAACAAAAATGCGATAGAACAAATTTGCACTTATCTGTATACAAAATTCTTTTATGTGTGTATTATATAAAGAATTTGTGCACCTATTTCTGGTAAATATAGCGGTGGATTGATGTATCCGGTTAAGTTCCAATTTCGGAATTCCTGGGAGATCGAACTTGGCTTTTATAATAAATTAATTCACCGGGTTTGGCCCGTCGAAGTTTGGGCAACTAAACAACTAAGTTGTTGTACGGGCTATCGTTTCGACGGGGGCCTTATGTAATAGATGCAGGGACGGGTTTGGGTGAATTGATGGTCCGTTTGTGAGGTTTTTGTTGGTTGTTTGATAAAAAAAAAGTGGAAATGTTTGGGGAATTTTGGGGGTTTTGAACATTTTGGTTGTTTGGAAGTTGTAGAGAATTGTTTTTTCTATAAAATGATGGAAATTTGGTGTTTTTGTCGTGTTTGGTTTTTGAGATAATTGAAGTTTTTTAGAGAGGTACATTATTTTTTTTTCGTGTGTTTCGTGTATAAAAAAGTGACAATATCTTTAAAATTTGGCGGTTTTTGAACATTTTTGATTCTTTGGAAGTTGTAGAGAATTGTTTTTTCTATAAATTGATGAAAATTTGGTGTTTTTGACTAGATTCGTTTTCGACATATACTTGAATTAAGTTTTTAGAGAGTTACTTCAATTTTTTATTTGTGTAAAATATTTATAAAAAGTCACAATATTTCGAGAATTTGATGGTATTTGAAAACTTTTGATTCTTTGGAAGTTGTTGAGAATTGTTTTTTCTGTAAATTGATGAAAATTTGGTGTTTTTGTCTAGATTGGTTTTCGACATAATTGAAGTTTTTAGAGAGTTACATCAATTTTTTCTTCGTGTAAAATATTTATAAAAAGTCACAATAATTCGTAAATTTGGCGGTTTTCGAAAATTTTTGATTCTTTGGAAGTTGTAGAGAATTGTTTTTTCTATAAAATGATGAAAATTTTATGTTTTTGTATTGTTTGGTTTTCGAGATAATTGAAGTTTTATAAGAGAGTTCCATCATTTTTTTTTCGCGTAATTATTTATAAAAAGAGCCACAATATCTCTAAAATTTGGCGTTTTTAAAATTTTTTGATTCTTCGAAAGTTGTAGAAAAATGTTTTTTCTGGTGAAATGTTGAAAATATGGTTTTCAATCTCTATTAGTAATCGAAATATTTAAATTTTCTAAATACATTCGATCCTTCAAACGTTTAGAGAATTATTTTTTACAAAATCCAACCCTGAATACGCACCTATTCATCCCCTAACAACTAGTTATCTTTTCTTTCACCAACCCTCGCCTTATTTTATAACCAAAATCCAAAAATTTAAACTTTCCTATATACCAACATAACATATAAAATATACAGATATATGCAGGTCATCGCTTGTAGATGAGAAACGAAACTAATCGCAATCGCAGCCATTTTACACCCCCCTCATTTATCGCGCAAAATATTTTAATATGTACCCTCTCGCATGGAAAAAGTCACGTTTGCTATTGTTGAAAATTTACCCCTTAAAGTTTCATTAACGAGAAAAGGCGTCACTCGCCCTGCCTATTTCGATTTCGTTCTCATAGAAAATTTCGCGACACGTGTTTTTGATGTTATTACTAAAGATAAATCCATTTCCTCCATCAATATACAAGACAATTGTACATCCAATTTTAATAAATTGCTACTGTAATTCGCAGCATTAATTGATGTGTATTTCGTACATGGAAATAAAAAACGCGATAAACTCATCCTATATACAACCAGTGATAAACCGTTTACAGATTACAAAGAAATCGAATTCCTGTTGTATAGTGAATATATCAGCATCAAACCGTCGATTTTACATGTTATTGTTCGATGCATAAAATGGATATTACTTGGTAAGTACTAATTTCATTTCAATTAAACCGGTAAACTAACACTAAAGCCTCGTACCTAACAATTAACCAGCCAACCGTTTTTCCAGGGCCTACTCGGCGATTCTACTAACACTAACCCTTCGATCCGGCGTAGTGGCCGAATCCCGCGTATGCCAAAGGCCACTAGTCAACAGACAACTCGTCTTCATCTACCAACCCTTATCCCAGGACAAAGTGCAAGTGTACCGGTGCCGGTACAAGTACCCCGGCAGGGCCTACTCGGACGTATCCGATCAATGTCTATCGGCTTTGGTGACCCATCGGTTCGTGGACAAATGGAACCAATCGCACGATTTGAACGATCCCAAAGCCCCGGTGATCGTCGAGGATCAAGTCGCCCGGTACGCCGACCCCGACAGGAACCTTATACAGCTAAGGTCGGTACCATTCCCAGTATAATCACTATAATCAAAAGGCCCAAATTCGTAGGGTCATTCTTGAGGTTTTTTTTACGGCCGCAGTTCGTCTTTTTTGACCGGGAAAAGTATCGAATCAGATGGAAACGCACACGCCCGATCGAAATATCGACGTTTCGACTCGATAAAATTTCATCTTCAATGTGAAATGAGCAAAATTAACCCATTTTTTTCGGTTTTTCGCACTTTTCTCGAATCGAGTTCGTTCGATTCGCTTCAAAATCTCCCAAAAGATTCTCCATCGGTTCTCTCGACTTTCGTATACAGCCGTTTTCCGGGAAAAATTCGTTTTGGGAAAATATCGTGGAAAATAGTTTTCGAGGGTTTTTTAAAAATCGAAATAACTCGTAAACGGTAAGATTTACGAACATTTTTTATACTTACAAAATAATTGAAAATTCTTTTTTCCATTCAACAAAAGAGACCGGGTGTTTTTCCGATCTGTAATTTTTGAGTTTTTTCGAAAAAACCGTTTTAAAATTGTCTTCAAGTTTGTAACGCCAAAACTCGGAAACTATCATCTTTTAGAAAATTTTGAAAGCGAAAATTTATAGATACGACATTTTTCTATCTACCAAATTTTTTTTCCAATTTCTTAATTATTATTTATCGAATTATAAAGATTTTTCGAAATCGATGCATATTTTACGACTGCCTTCGAACCGGAAGTGAAAACTTTCAAATCTACGATGACGTACGATCATTCCCGAATGAAAGACAAAATGGATGACTTTTGCGTTTCTATGGATATGTTGACATTTAATTTGATGTACAGGGTGTTTTTTCATTAAGGAAATCGGAAAAATTGATATACGGGGCGTTTTTTTATCTTAAGTGAAAAATTATTTTTAAATTAAATTGAAATATAGTATAGGGCGATTCGTTTTTAAGGAAACGTTAATTACATAAACCAAGCGAGGATCCAACTATAGACGACTCGGGTTAAGATCGCAGCGCCATGGTGGTGACAGCTGAAAGCTAGCTAAGTACCATTATACCGTTGTTTACATATGTTGTGTATAATAAAATCGGCCTTTTTTAGATATTTTTTAAGTAAAATTTATTAAGATTTAAGATTATTAAGGACATTTATAACATTATTAGTCTTTTGTAGATAGTTGATAGTGTCAGGTTAGCGACAAAATAAATTGTAGAAACCATAACCCCTTTTAAAAAATACTTTATATTTTTAGAAACAAAGCTTTTAATTAAAGATTAAATAATTAATATACATTTAGTAATGCTTCTGCTGCTTCTTGGTTCTCAAAATCTATCTTAATTAATAAATTTCCTTCTGTTGATACTCAATATTTATATCAATATGGTCCTGGGGATGTATCACTTAACCCTTGTGGCAGATTCTGGGACTGCGCAGCTAGAGATTTTAATATTCTACGTTTTACTTTAACTAAAACGAGAAAAATTGAATAAAATGGATTTTGTATCATTTTCTGTAAAAAAACACTTTCGAGAAAATGTAATGAGCACACTTTCATCGTATTTGATACACTTTTTGCGATTTTTAATCTTCATATCCACAACAATCTTCTATCAATTAGTTCCAAGTGAATCCAGGCTTACAGTTTCCACAAAAACCTTCGATTTTCCTGCTTTCGGGAAAAGATGAAAACTTAAATTAGGATTTAGCTTGATCCAGGATGAACACTGGGAAACGCAGCAATACTGGTTCATTTTAAAAATCTCCAACAAACACAAAAACTTAAAAAACACAACTGAACTAGTACGTTTTGTCATAAACAACAATAATGACAATAGCCGCACAATGGCTCTTAGCTCGGTTCTTAGAATATCCGCCAGAGGGCGTATCGCTTAGCACGAATCGTCTATATAACTGTCTTTGCCGTTAGGACTCCGAGCTGCGGATCTATTTCTCGATATAACACCATACATATCTAATTCCAGATCGCACACGATCTGCCGGTACGACCGCGGCTTCTGCTACGACCCCCGAGAGTCCCCGGACTACGCGGCGGTGTGGCGCGTGCGCGCCCGCTCCCCGCCCGGCGCCTGCGCCGACCGCCTCCAGCAGATCTACTTCGGCCCGGCCGACGTCTGGACCTTCCCCGCGGCCAACCAGTCGTACCTGCTGGCGAGCCACTGCTGCAAGGACGAGTCCTTCTACCTGAAGCTGACCGGCCGGACGCGGTGCCGCGGGAAGCCGGCCTGGACGACCGATCGGCCGGGCCTGGTGGCGTCGCCGGGGCCGCTGCGGGGCGGCTACGTGCCCGCCAAGAAGACCGGCGAGCCGGCGGACCTGCCGATGCGGTCGAAGCGGCACAACAGCGAGGCCATCCTGATGGATTGCGATTTGAGCGCGTTCGGCGTGAGGCTGGACGAGGAGTACCTGGAGAGGGCGGGCAACTTGAGGATCATCTTCGAGAGTTACAGGGGGTTGATAGAGGCTAATAGGAAGTCGACGGGGGATGTGCGGAAGGTGTTGGATCGGTATCGGGCGGTGTTGAACGCCAAATTTAAAGACTTGAACAGGGTGAAGGTTATGCTCGGTTTGCTTATTACTAGATTCGATCGATTCAATGGTAGTTCAAGCGTTAATTACACCGACGATTTGTATTCGAAAATGAAGCGATTGAACGAGAGTTTGGTGGATTTGAGGAAATCGATTAATCCAAACGATTGCTACGCGTTAATCGATAACGTAAACGCTACATTTTCGATTACTGCGAAAAATATACAAACCAAAAACGAACAATCTTTAAAACAACTAACGCAAGATACCCAAAAATTAAATCAAAACACAACGAAGATATTCGAACATTATATACACCAAATCACCGCAAATCTAACATCGACCAAAATCGAATTAATCGATTTAATCGATACCACCGCCAAATCGAAATCCATCGAATTCGATGCGAAACTCACCAACTACTCCACGATCATACTGAACGACATTTCGCTACACTCCAACAATTTCCTCCAGAAACTCGACGAACTCCAAAACGATCTAAAAACAAACTTCACGTATTTAAAAAACTACACGAAACCCCAACAAATATCCCGGCAAAATCTAACCAGCCTAAACTCATCGATTTCTTCCCAAATAAACCGAACGAATTTCAAATTGCAAAATCTCCAAAACCAATTAGCAAACTATGAGAGTTTAATTGGCGACAAAGTGGACGATTCGATTAAGAACGTGAGCAAATTATTGGAATCGATTCCGGCAGGGATTAGAATCGAAATGCTGGATAAAATCGATTCCGCTGCGAATAAAACCGGCAGGAATTGCAGCGATAAAATCGCCGCCAGCGAAAAATCCACCAGGAAACTGATAGAGCAATTACGAGGCGAGTTAATTAGCTTAATTGAATCCGGCGACGGGGTGATTAGCGAGGAAATTAATAAAATAATCGCTAAATTAAAAAATTACGACATTTTGCGAGATTCGATTCGACGCATCGAAAACGATTCGATTGCTGCTAGTCAATTAACGCAAAAATCGATTAAAGAAATTAATAACAACCTAACAACCATTCGTACAAATTACACGCAACTGGATAAAAATATTTCGGAGAAATTCGACCAATTCTCGCTTCTCGTAATTAAACAAGAAAATTATTTCAACGATTTAATCATCAAAATCAAATCCAAGATGGACGCACTGCCTTCGCAATTGGATCGAAAATATTCCGGGAATATCGATAAATTAAACGATTTGGAAAGTAATTTACGAAGCAAAATCGGCGAAATTCGACTGGAAGTTACCGAAATGGATCGGAAAATCGGCGAGAAATTCATTAAAATAGATTTTATCGATTATTTACGACGGAATTTATCAGATATATTCGCGAAATTGGAGAATAGAATTAACGATAAACAAACCAATTTATTGAAATATCTGGATAAACAAACTGTTAATACAACAAACAAAATTAATTGTTTGGAAAACGGATTAAATTCAACAATCGATTACGTTGCGATTATCAACCAAACTTTAATCGAAACTAACGATTCTCTTAAAGAAAAAATCGATAGTAACGCAGAAAATATACAAAAATTATACAACAATTTTAACAAATTAAACTTCGTTTTTAACATCACATCTCTAATCGATTCTAAAATCAATTCCGCTGCAACTCGAACGGAATCGATTCTAGATACGTTTAAAATCGAAACAGCCTCGTTGGATACCGAAATAAAAAATTTAAAGAACGATTTAATTGCACAGAAATCAAACTTGAGCGGAGCTATAGACAAAAACACAATCGATATTAATCAATTAAAAATCGATTTTAATGTATTGGAAACGAAGCAATTGGATGAATCAAAATCCACGCAACAAACAATCGATTTATTAGTTAAAAACGCTACGATAAGCGAAAAACGAATCGATGATAACGAAAAAACGATTAAAGATCTGGAAAATCGACTGGAAAAGTTGCAAAAATCCAAGGAAATCGACGAAAAACGCTACAATGATACTATTACCGATTTGCGCGGTTTAATTAACGAAAAAGGCGAGGAAATTTTGTACTTAAAACAACAATTATCCAATATAAATAAATGTTGCAACAACCACGATTTAAAATTCGCAGAAAAAGATAAGCAAATCGATGATTTAAAGAAAGAAATCGAAAAAACAAACAAGGAAATGAAGAAAAAAATCGATAAAATCATCAACGATATCGGCATGATAGAAGAAGTGGAAATACAGTAATAACATTTCCCCAATTAATCTATTATTATTATTATTATTATTAATACTTATTATTATGTATATTTAGTACATAAGGCCCATATTTAGCGCTCTTTTTTTACGTTAATTAATTGTTTAAATGATCTCTTTGAATTGACAATTTTACATTGTTGTTATGGAGTAACAAAAGGGCGTTGTTTAAATTAAAGAGGCTCATAAAGCAATTACTTAACGTTAAAATTATGGGCCGCATAGTGATTAGTTAAGTTTGAATTATGTATACAAACTTAAATTATACTCTAAAAAACAACAAAATTGGAAAATTGTATACAACAAATCACCTCAAATCTATCATTGATCAAAATCGATTTAATCGATCTAATCGATACCATGGCCAATTCGAAATCCACCGAATTCAGCTATTACAGAATATAATATGGTACAGAATATATCAATGAGCAGGAAGTTTTCAACTTGTTTTCATTAGTCCAATAAAGATTCATTAGTCCAATTAGTCCAATAAGATATTGTTTACATTAAAGAAACGAACCCTTTAAGCAACTAAGTAGTGTTTAAATTATGGGTCATAGTAACAATAATTTATAGATAATTGTCTTATACAATGTCAACAAATATATTATTTATTAGGTAATCGGTAAAAAAATTGATATTAATTTTATAATTGGGTTTTTCCTTCTAATTAGAAATGTTTACGAAGAAGACTTTTGGGTCAAGATGTAGATATCAATATTATCGCCATTTTATTTTCGGTTATCATTTGAAATTGATCTTGAACTCATTAAAGCACTTCTTTTAGGTACACCATTCTGACCTATGTGTAGATAAAAATTGCCAAATTAACCATCCAATCAGTAGCGCACTAAATACAATTTACACCGCAAAAATCCTCTACCAGTTCAAAAAAGTCATAATTCCACCACTGGTGCAAAAGACATATATCACTTCTCCAACAAAATCATTTTTAATACACAATAATCGCATACAAAACGCTTTAAACGTACATTTAAAAATTCCAAAAAAATTCACTGTAACGACAATGTCTAACAAGATTACAAAAAAAAATCAAATTGAATTCGAACAAACATCTCTGATATCCATTTAATATCAATCCAACTTTCGAAGTAATGGCGCGTTTAAATCTCATCCTCTTCGCGCTATTTTATTTCTTCTACCACCCATCAGAAGCCACATTTTGTCGCCGCCCCATCGTGAACAAAAGCCACGTGTACATTTACACCAGCATAGGAAAAGTACCGGTCGAAGTGCGACGATGCCAAATCAACGACGACAAGTACCCCAAAACAGACCAGTACTCCGACATAACTGATAAGTGTATCGCAACTTTTACCGATGAATCCCACGGTTCGGGCTTGGATTCCTACGTTTCCGAAGCCGATCTGATCAAGAACGAGATCTACCTGAAGTCCGGTACCACCTGCAGGTACGATATCGGTTTCTGTTTCGATAGCAAATCAGGCAACCAGTACGCTGTGGTATGGGATGTTGTGGAGAAACCGCAGATGAAATGCCCCGATACCTTGCATTTGTTGTTCGAAGGCGACGTGGAATTTTGGCACTTCAAGAAGCAGGAGCAACAGCAGCAGCAGCAGAATGGGCTGGAGCAGAAGCAGGACCAACGGAAGGAATTCAAATATTTGTTCTACCCGAAGCGAGACGAGAACGCGGCTTTCTACTTGGCCTTGGAGAACAAGGAAGAGTGCCAAGGTAACCAAGTTTGGTACACCGAAGAAGGTTACGTGTTATCTTTGGTACCACTTAAAACAAAGGGGGTTGATATTGTTAGCAATTATTTTTCGTACGATACTAAAGAACAAATAAGCGAAAGAATACTGGAGAATTGCGAGATCAAATCCCTACCGGTTAATGATTACCCAAAGACAATCACAGCGAAACAGTTGCTAGATCCACACAACACCAAATATCTACTCAATAAATTCAATGCTATATTAAACAAGTACGATGATTTATTAAAAAAGGAACAAGCCTCCACAGCGCTCTTCATGCGCAAGCAATTCCAGGAACTCAAACAACAAGCCGAGGCTCTACTTCAACAAATCAACAACACCAACGATGATTTAAACAAATTAAAAAACGACAATCGAGCTGTACAAGAAATCGAACAAAAAATCGAGAAACTGATCAAAAACGACGTAGAACAGGAGAAGAAAAACACCCAGCTCATCATATCCAACAAAAAACTAACGCAGCAATCGAAGCTCGGCGACATGGACTTGGAGAAACTGGCCGATAGAGTGGAACTCATCCAAACCGTCGTCAACACGCATATACCGGAATTCACCGAAAAGTCCGAAGTTATAGAAAAATTCACACAGTTAGAAATCGAATTCCACCAACAGATCAAAGAACTCGCCGCCAATCTGACCATGGCTCTAATAGATGGTGGTACCAAAAGCGGAGTTAAAACCAGCGGTGTCAAAGGCGGTACCGCCAACACTAGAAGAGTACTCGAGCAAATCGTGCTGCAAAAATTGAAATCTTACAACGCCGATCAATGCGAAGCAGCGGTAAATGGCTTGAGGGAAAAAACCCAGTTGATGATCGACCAATTAACCCAAGTAACTTACTCCAACATATCCCAATTGGAGGATAAATTGTTGAGTAGTATAGAAAAACTTTCAGCATCGAACGAACCAATGGTTGTGGATATTAAAGAGCTGTACACGAAAATCGATTCGTTAGAAAAAACCGTTACAGTTAAATACACCAAAGACCAACCAAAACAAGTAGAAGTACCCACCAATGATATTTTTGATAAATTGGAGAGTCTATTGAGAAGCGACTGGAAATTGGAGAAGTCTATCGAGAAATTACAAGAGGAAATCGATGATCTATCAGGAATTCCCGAAAAAATCAAAGACTTGGAACCTAAAACCGATTTATCCCAACAAAATCGCTACGAACGCTTAGATTCCTTAGAATCCGTCGCTGTACATTTGGAAAGAGACATTAAAAACAATAACATCACTATCGATGAATTGAAATTGAAAATTCGCGATATTTTAGATAAATTACACAGATACGAAGCGGATGAAGAAGGTCGGTCGGATAAGTTTTCCACCATCGATGAGCGCATTAAAGCGATTTACGGGCTGATGGAGGAGCAATCGAAAATCCACGCGCAAAAGGTGGAAAAAGTCGAAAGCTCAAGCAAAACCAAAATCACCGATGCCTTCGGTCAAATCAAACAGGCACTGAAAGACGTTGAAAATCATTTAAGCGAAAACAGCGAGAGAATAACCAAATTAGAAAACGAAGATCACGATGACGATAAACTAATCGACGCTATTAAAAACGAATTAACGCAACAAGAAGCCAATTTGAAGGAATTTGAAGATTCAGTTCACAACAAAACCACCAAATGCATGCACCACAACAACCAGCAAGACTCCCACATAACAAACTTACAGAAAAACCTCACCGATCTATTCGACATGCTGAAGAAACAAGAAGACAACATACTAAAACTCGACAAACAACAACAACAATACACCGACTTAGTCGAACCGGATCTAGAAGAACTAGTCGAAGGAAGAGACCACACCAAAGGAAGAGACCACGCCAAAGGGCGAGACCACGCCAAAGGAAGAGACCACGCCAAAGGGCGAGACCACACCAAAGCCGCCTACCATCAACCCGACGAAGACGATCAATCCCAAATCGAAGAGATGAAAGCGCAACTGGAGCGCAACGCCAAAACCATCGCCGAGCAGCACAACCAGATCCTCGCTCTCGAGAAGAACCTCCAGGAGCTGAACCAGCTGGTGCGCAAAACCATCAGCGCCGATCAGGAGACGTTCAAAGACATCGACAGGAAATTCTCCGCGCAAAGCGACGATTTGGAATCCCTGCAGAACGGTTTGACGGTGAAGATTAGCCAATGCTGCAACTCTGGACCTCCAGGTTGGACCAAAAACGGCGTGAAGACCAATCCCAGCCAGAATCACGGCAATCACGGCAATCACGGCAATCACTTTGGCAGAGGTCATTATTAGAATTAGCTTCAATTATTAGAATGTGTCTATTACAGTTGATATAAAATTTTATTGATTGTTAAATTGGTTTTATTTAATAGTCAATCGTTGATATCTATAAATATTAATGGCGATTACTGTTGTAGGTACAATACAACAGCTTTTTATATGTACCTACCTCTATAAGAGTGCTCGGAATGCAACGGACAATAAAATAAAATCGTCCCGTTTGTTGTTGTTCAACAACATTTTATTTTTTTTCTTCTATATTATTCTATTTCGAGTCCCCTTCTTTGTGTCGCGCCGTTTCGAGAGGGACCTTCTGCACTAATGCGTCTAATCAATTGAGCGTGAGCGCCATATGCTCTTGAAACATTCCAAAAAAAAAGTATACCTAATTCATCAGGGAAGTTAGTTCGATGAGCGATGGAAAACAAATTCCTAGGAATTCCGCGTTCGTAAAAAGCCATCACCTTCGCGAAGCCGTTTTCCGTCGAGATGTCTAGATGCTCCCCCGGCATTTGCATTTTCCTATACCTAGATAACGCGAAGATAAGGCGGCAGTTTAGCGTGTAACAATGCGGCATCCCCGCCCGCCTTCGGGGAAACCCACACGGGGACGTCACCCTCCATTGATTCGAGAGATTGCCCCGGGAATTGATTCATTTCGGTGCACCGAATCTTTATTCCCGCTATATAAACTGGAACTAGCACCGTTTGTACCTCGCGAGTTTCCAATTCTACCAGCATCCGCTATTTACCTCCCTTAAATCCACTTGCTAGATTTTTTTTATGTAACGCCAGAATCGTCCGGAGCCGGGCCTGTTCGGAGCGAAATTGAATATTCATTAAAGAGTTTAGTGCCGATATCCGATCACCATAAAACTGTCTCTATCTTATTCGATTCCGGTTTTAAGGGAACTAAAACATTGCACCGTCTGCGAAACGGGGGATAAATGTATATCCTATATGGGTGGGTGTGTGTGTGTGTATATATCTGGATCCGGGGGATGTTCAAGCTTGCCAGAAATCGGGCTAAGAAACGGATCATCCGACCTCTGGAATACGCTTTTAATGCGGCCGGTTTTATTTCGCTTCCTTTTTCCGGAGAAGCGCCCTTTTCCAGGGGATTCCAGGACGGGATGAGGACCGTTTGGTTCATGAGAGTGAGGCGATTCGATGGTTTTGTTATGAGGAATTTGCTGGTTAACAATCGCTCGATTAGTTCAAAATTTTTGATAATGGTGTTAGATATAACCGATTTATGATGAATCTTCCTCCAGTGATCTAACCAAATATCGGTCTACAATAGTGAACTCGAATTATACAATCGATTAATAATCGATTTACTCAACTCGCCGACCAAAAGCTGTTCTACAAACATCATTATACGACCCGCTATAAATTATTTACGTTCGAAATCAAACTCGATTAAACTGCGAATTTTTTATTACTCTATAGTCCTAATATTAAACATAAAAAAAAATTTATTCGTAAATACGTCTGTAAGTCCGAGAGCCCCTGTACGGTCTCGGTCTACTGGCAGCGTACGATTGATCCCCGTTAGACTCCGATGCATAACCGGAAGACCCGGGTCTGTGGCCTGCCGGCCTGGTAGACCCCCGTCCGGAGCACGCGGTGCCCGCCACGGCGGAGGCCACGTCGTTGGACCACACTCTGAAGTTGGTCGCGTCGTAGTCGAGTCTACCGTACAAAAACTCCGGCATGGTGTTGGTCAGCAAGTAGACCTTATCGCCGCTGACCTTCAAGTCGCAGGGGTAGATCATCCGCCGGTCGTCTTTCTGCACTATGGAGATGGTCTGCAGGGGTTTGTGCGTGTTCCAGCAGGCCATGGCGTTCTGGTTGACCAAGCTCAGGAACATCACACCGGTGGGTTGGTGGATGTCGGCCGATGAGGTCTGGGACTCAGCTCCGCGGTCGCCGATCACCTGGAACAGATGCGATTTGTTAAGTAGACCAGAAAATCGATCTGCTATTGGAAACTGTTGGAAATAACAGTAAATTGGCTGGAGTGGTCAGTAAAAGGATCAGTGTAGACCGAAAACACGGTTCACTAGATCGGATATTCGATATTCAATACAAACCAAAGATGCACCAAAGCATCCTAGGATGAATTCCTGTTCTAAGTCAGACCTAAGTGTAAAATCAATTTTGTACTGTTGCACCAATTAAAAATCTCTTTTCTGTAATACGAATCGATCACGGATCCTAGTTTGTCGATTTCTACGACTTAAGACGAAAATGTTAACCTCAAAAATTTGAAAATTGTCGGGACAGTTGTAAAATTATGGATAAAAATGGGGATATAAATATTATGGTTAATGAAGATATAATAGATGATGTAGAGGAAGAAAGTTATGTGGTAGATGTTCCTATTCAACGATAAATTAGATATATTTTTAAACATTCTCGGTGGAAATATTTTTAAAAGGTTTCGTAAAAAGTTTCGACACCCAAAGTGACAATCATCTCCTTCTTTTCAAGTTTTCTTCAACAATATTGCAACGTTTCCAGTTGTTATCTAAGTTAAAATAGATCGTAGGTAAAATAATCTTTATTGAACATGGTGCAACATATTGCAATCTTAAGTAGATCACAAATTTAAGTCAGACTTAGATAAAATATAATCTAGGATATAATGGTTCAACTGGACATAACATTTTAGTGCCCAATATTGTGTAAAAGTCTGTAATTAGTTCAATGGTTGTATTGCCTAGAGAAGAAGAAGAAGAGGAAGAAGAAGAAGAAGAAGAAGAAGAAGAAGAAGAAGAAAAAGAAGAAGAAGAAGAAGAAGAAGAAGAACATTCCCGTTTGAAATCATACCTCGAAATCGTGCTCGTGATAAGACCTGGTGGCCAGCGTCTCGTTTCTGAGGATCCTCGTGGACACTTTGTACATGTGGGTGCCGGCCATCGAATGGAAGTACAAGTCTCTGTAGCCGTCCGATCGGAGTGAAGTCAATTCGACGCTGAACACGCCGTCGTTCCATTGGAAATCGTGCCCGGATATGTGGAACTCGCCGGCCAGCGGTTCCAGATAGAAGTAGTTGTGGCTGATCCTCCACGACCGGTTCTCGCGCAGACTGTACACGATCAAACCGTAACCGCCTGGAATAACGTTTGACAATAACGTTTTGTATATAACCTGAATTGAGGTGTTACTTACCCAAGTCTGGTACGTAGGCGTAGGCGTCATCGCAGGTGTTCTTGGTGACGTCGATGGTGATGCTGGCCAATCCGCTGGTGGGTCTGATTTGATCGCTCGGTATGTGGAAACTGTGAACGATGCGATCGGTGTGCAAGTCTATGATTCCTATGGTGGCCGGTCTGATTCTGCTAACGTTAGCTGGATAAAAAAAATCCACGTGGCTTAAATCAGGCGGATATAGCGGACGTTATACACTTACCACTTAATACCTCCACTAAACCGGTATCGACGAACCATAATCTATCGCATGGGTCCACAGCTACTCGGTATAATGATACCAAATTTTCGCCGCTATTGGTGGGGTCGGGGTAGGTGTTGACCTCCCAATTGGGGTAGGGTATCAGGGGTACGTTGTGCTTTTGTCTGCTGTCTAACGGTACGTAATTTAGAGTTGATGGTACTCCCAATCGGCGACGTGGTACTGTTATGAACAGTTTGTTCCTCCATACGTTGGCGCCCATGGGGATGTTGTTCACTGTGTTGTTTAAAAGAATTTTTAATGTGCAATGAAAAGTCTGTATAAGGGAGGCGTGTTACGTGGAGATGTAGTGAAAGTTTTAGTTACGGATTTGTTGTATACAGGGTGGACGAAAAGTGTGGATGAAACGTTTGAATTTCAGATGACTTTTTGGACACGCTGTATAGTTTATAAAGCAAGTATAGAGTGTTCCAATGAAAAGTATAGCCCCTTTAGTGGGCTAATAATTTTGTATCGCCTGTACAGGGTGTTTCATAAAAATCCCCTCTTCACATTAACCAAATTTTATGAAATAGGACGTCTTCTTTTGTAGAATAACAAGTACAAATAATACATTTTTAAAAAGTAGAAGGTGTGTGTTCCATTTAAAAAAAAATGGTTACTGTGAATTTAAAAGAGGAGATTTTAATAAAACACCCTGTATTGGTAATGCATAATTTCTGTAACACTGTAACAAAACTTATAATAAAATAAACATATTTGAGAAAACCGCATGTTTTTATGATATAGGCGTTTAAAAATTATAAGCTCGGTAAAGGGGCTACTTTTCATTGGGACACCCTGTATTATTCATCGATTTATTGAAAGGTTTCTATAGTATTTTTAAAATTCCTGCTATAGTAGGATTAATTGAAGCGTTGAAATGCTAATAAATTATTCATGAAATCTAGACCTTGTGTATATTTTTATTCTAAATAGCTGTATTCGTGTACGGTATATTATTTTAAATTGGTGCAGTATATCGAAGATATTCGAGGTTACATATCCGGTTTTTCATAAAAACCTGGTTATTTTATTTTGATATTGGCGGAAATGTTCAAGATAATTGATAAGAAAAAAAATCTATTTTGTAAAGTTTAACCAATTTATTTAAGCAATCTATTAATTACTAACATAGCTATTTTCAATTATAGGCAATTTGCGGTGATTGGTAATCGCAATTAATAAGAAAAATTATAAAGGAATGATAATCGATTGATTGTGCATTTCGAAATAATTAAATTGCTCGAAAAATTACTCAAAATTCGCGTAAAAACCAACTATTAATAAAACTGGTTAATTACAGTTAAGAAAACAACAACTACATACACATAAAAAAATTCACTATTTAACTATAAATACTAATTTCAACGAAAACAGCAACATACAGGACGATTCACATAAAATAAATCACTCTAAAACAAAGGTAATAGGAAATGCCTAAAGTTAGCACAGCTCACTGGGCTTGCCTAAAACATTTAGGAAATACTTAAACATACTTTTCATGTGATTTAATGTGACTTTAGATTGACTGTCTTTGGACTCTTTAGATGAAAATTTAAAATGGGAGGAGAGTTTTTAGAAACTGGACGAAACTGATTTTTTTTTCGCCTTTTTCGATATATAAAAATACGGCATTACAAATATTACAAAGAATTGAAGATGATTTTTAATTTGAAACACAGGAAGGTTTTGGAACTATTGACTGTACACATGCATGTTAAGATCCATTGTCCTGGAGGAGAAGATGTAGAAATATTTTACAAATCGGAAAGGTTATTTTTCTATTAATGTACAGACTACATCTTCAGCAGATTTAAAAATAACTAACATAGTTTAAAGTTTAAACGTTAAAGTTTAAAGTTTAATCTCCGCTTATTCGGTTTACAGGTCAAAATTAGGCAATGCTACCAATAAAATTCAAAAAATTGTCGAAATCAAATTTTTACCTAGGTATTTCTTAGTAAGAGATTTCTAATGTTGGTGAAATTCGATTTAGGTAAGTATTTGATTTAAGTAATTCCTATCTTAGGAATTACCTAGTTAGGAAATGCCTAAAAACATGTTGGTGAAATCTGCCATAAGCGACAGATAATTTCCAATGTTGGCGTCAAAAATTTTAGAATTTACGAACGACCGGTTAAGGATATGTGACATACAGGGTGTCCCAATAGTGCGGTAAAGCCCATTTACTCAGTTATTATAATAGATACGAAAAAATGGTAAATAGGAAAAATGTTAAGCACCTTTAGGCGCACAATTTAAAATTATTTCGAAATATACAGGGTGGCCCATAAATCGAAGCCATACCAAACATACCTTTTTTTAAAGGCAATGATATATTTTTTATTTCATATTCGATTTCAGCTCGTTTTCACGAGTTTCTCAATATAAGATTTCATATTACTATACTGAGTATTTAAAAAGTTATGGCCATTTTTATGTTCAAATCGTCATGACTTCAAGGCCCTGTATATCAGAATCTGTATCAGATAATGTGAATTTTTCTGTGTCAGCACTTTTTGAAAATGGTCTATTTTCACAAAAAATAGTTACATTTTGACAAAATTACAATTTGTATACAGGGTGAGTCAAAACGCAAACATAATAATTACTTGCTTAATTTAAAAGGAACACCCTATATTAATAATATCCAATGGGAAGTCTATTTCTTACTGAATCTTTTTTCGTAACATTTCCCTATACCTAACTGTCACCGTTTCCGAGATATTTTCAGTTTTATTAAAAAATGTCCAGTTTTTGATATTATAATTTCATTTTGATCGTATTTACCGTGATTATAGTCGATGCCTTCGGGGGCGCCGTCGGCGTCGTCGAACCGGCCGCCGATCTGCTCGCTCGGCACGAGCGTCGGGTCCTCGACGACCAGCGACCCGGCGTACCGCTTGGCGCGCGACGCCGCCGCGACGCCGCCGACGCCCGGCCACCGGTAGGTGATCCTCGACCAGGTGAATTCCTCGCGCAGGCCGGCGCCCGAGACGGCGCCGATCAACGCCAGGCAGAGGGCCGCGCACAACGTCGGGTAGTTCATACTTTTCTACTTTTCTAATGTATTAATTATCTAAAAATGTTTAGTGGTGATTCGATTGATAGCGGACGCGCGCGTCGTTGGAATGATATCTCGCCGGACTGAGCGGGTTTGATGGAAGTCGGTTTGTTTTATGAATTTTACGATCGAGATAGCGGTCGCGAGAGAGCTGCGTGTAGACCGGTCTTGTGTTTGTTTATTTATGGGGGACAGAGATTATCCGGTTTCGCATTTACAAAAAACTCGATTTTCTGCAAAACTTTTATCGCTAATAATCAATAATTTGACTAGAATCTTTTCTAGTAGTTTAACCTTTGCAACCAAGGCTATTCGGCCTATCAGTAATTTTATATTCATATATTGACAAATGACAGATGACAAGTTTGACAGATGATAAAAATGACAGATGTCAAGATTAACAGAAGGCAGGAATGACATATTTTTAGAATTAAAGGTGACAAAAATGACAAATTTCAGGAACTAAAGATAACAAGAATGCCAGATAGCAATAAAGATAGATATATCACGATTGCCAGATGTCAAGATTGACAGTCAGAGACTTATGACAGATGTCAAGAAAGTCAAGAAAGTCAAGAAAGTCAAGAAAGTCAAGAAAGTCAAGAAAGTCAAGAAAGTCAAGAAAGTCAAGAAAGTCAAGAAAGTCAAGAAAGTCAAGAAAGTCAAGAAAGTCAAGAAAGTCAAGAAAGTCAAGAAAGTCAAGAAAGTCAAGAAAGTCAAGAAAGTCAAGAAAGTCAAGAAAGTCAAGAAACTCGAGAAACTCGAGAAACTCAAGAAACTCAAGCAAATCAAGAGTGCCAAAGTGTTAAAAACGACAAAAACAACAATCAACAATAATGACAAACGAAAAGTCGCAATATGATGACAACTGATGCCAATTGAGTCAAACGATAATCGTGTCAAACGTCAATTTTGGCGAACGTCATTTGTGTCAAACGACAATTGTATCAAACGGAAATTCTGTCAAACGTCAATTCTGTCGAACGATAATTATGTAAAACTCAATAGACCTATTCAGTTTACGAAAGAGAGTGATGGAGTTATTTGATCAACATAAGATAATAAAAGAAGCAAATATGTTTCACGCGCAATCTGTGGAACCATTTAAAATCTGCGCAAACATAAGTGTAAGAGAGATGAGATATTTGGCCTATTTCATTGCTGATTGACAGACCCATTGAATGATTCTTAGATGAAAACTGTTTTAATATTTAATATTTTAAATATAAAAAGAAGAGACCATCTTCAATCATAACCCTATTTTGTTTCTTGTTTTCGTTTAATGTTTATTGTTTATGTTCAGTGTGTTTTATTTTTAACAGTATTTTTTTTGTATTATTTAGTATATTTATTTATAAAGGTTATAATTTTTTATATAGGTCAATGGGATTATTTCTTTGAAATATATATTATATTATAGCAAACCGATCAAAAAGCATTTTGGGAAACTTTGTACTAACCCTCTTACTCTTTCTTAGACTTGACCTGTATGTAAATATTAAGCCTAATCCCCTTTCTGGGCAGTAAAAACAAATTTGTATCGAGTCATCGCGTCCATTACAAATTAAATCCGACGGATTATTGGATAATGACAAATGACGTCTGAAGTATGTCTTAAGTTGTCGTTGTCTGGTTGTCAGAACCGTATTTTACCTGAGGTGCGTTCGTTTGTTCGTTTAGATGTCAAGTTAATTATCCACAGTATGCGCGCGCAGCACAGGTTAAACTGAATAGGTCTATTGTATTAAACGTCAATTGTGTCAAACGTCAATTGAGATAAAACCTATTCTCGCACAAACGACAAATGACAACACCTACAAACGACAACTGTCAATGCGAAAATCGCCTTAACGCGCTAACTAATTGATCGTTTTTTAATCGTGCGATTTCCTCGAAACGAAACGAAACAACACCCGATAATGAGAGTTAAGTGAAACAAAACGGTAGAACAAACGATCGCGACGGGGTGGAGTGGAGTGGAGTGAAGAATATGGAAACACGTGGGGGCCCTATAGCGGGACAGGAAACGCCGGTTAGCACGAACGCCAGCACATAAAAGATACTTCCGGTAAGGTAAATGGTCTGAGAGAGTGATGGCTGTCTGTCGAGAGTGTCGAGGATCGAGGCCTCTACCGATCATTTGTTACATCCCGCGTCCCGGGAGCGTCGCGACGCTCCCTTTATACGCCTATCATTATGTATACCATACATTACTCTCTTGTATGAGGAATTAATTGCGATATAATCGTTTTTATCTACTACTAAATGTCATGATAATACAAATTTGAAATTTTTTAGAATGTCATAATGAGACTTACTATAGCACTAGTGTTGTAATTTTTAGAAAATTCACGCAAAAAGTAAATAAAAATTTAACTAGAATTTTATTTAATATAAATGTTGAGAGGGAATTTCTTCATTTGAAGAACTCATTATATTACCTTTTTTTATTAAATAATTATTTTTCTAGAAAATTTATATTTAAAATGATAAATATGATTGACTTCTAACCTTAGCTACGAAAATTGAATATAAATAAATATAAATTTAAATAATATTTTTTTTAAATAAAATAAATTACAATTTTTTTTATAATATTATAGTTTGGTTATTATGACATGGTAGTAGATAAAATCTTGTAAGGTAGACTGGGGCAAATGTAAAAATGGACTAAATGTAATATTTTTACCTATAATTATGTTAATTTTTTTATTATTTTTATAGTTCTTTTGTGCATTAGACAGTGTTTGTTTCTTATTTTTTCTTTATTTTGTTGTAGCTCTGTTATTTTTTGAAATAAATAAACAGCATATCCAATTTTAGTGGAACCAAATATTTTTTACAATTGCCCCATATGTTTTTCTATATAATTGTATTGCACTTTACCCCGTACCATGTAACATATTGTCAACATTTTAAAAAATATATAATATCGTTTCCTTCCTTTTTCAAAAAAAATTTTTAACACCTCGACTCTTTAGTTTAGGAAGTTGTGAATTTAATGTGGTGTCAGCAATTCTAATAAGAGAAAAAATAAAGCCACATTTTAGGATTAAATTTGAACTATTCAAATTTTACAACCGATTTGCCCCAGTCTACCTTATGCTGTTAATCGTCTAATTACAGAACTCGCCCGCGGCTCGTTCTGCAAATTTCACACTCGTGCTATAATAAGGTGCATATCGCACTTATAATACAAATAGCTATTAACACTGCAAAAAAAAGTACTAGTAGAAACGCCCGTTAGACAAACGAGCATAATTAGAGTGCGAACAAACGGTTCCGGTGAGCGAGAAAAAATTAAAAAAAAAAAAAATGGCCGGTATTCGCACATGCAACGAAAATAAATCTATTGTTTCCCATATAGACGTGTGTGTGCGGCGGCGGCGGCGGCGGCGGCGGCGGTTGCATGGCGCGACTGTACCCGTAACACGGGAGTTTTACACGCTAATGAGGGCGGGCTGGCCAGTTACCCGCCGCAAAAGGGGCCACCCCCTCCTCCTCCTCTTCCTCCCGCCGGGCGGAGGGGCGCCGCCGCCTGGGGGGGATTTTTCGAACGATTAAAAAGTGTATTTTTCGAATAAAATTAATTACCGGTATAGTCGAGATGTTATGAGGGAACTGGGGCATATACAGGGTGTGCGATAATCGTTTACGAGAGTGTAAGGTGGAAAGTTATATATCGGAAAATTTAAAAGAGCCCCATTTTCGGTTGGAAAATTGCATTATTCTTTTTGTTAAAGCGAAATTTTAGCTCGAGATGGTTGCAAATGATTATGGAGCGTTCCAGATTGTTCTAGATAGTTCTAGACAGTCTAAATAGAACAGTGTAAATGGTTCTGATGCGTTCTAAATGGTTCTAGACATCATTCTGGAACATTCTAAATGGTTTTAATCAGTTCTAATCGATTCTAGACGATTCTAAATAACTATAGAGCGTTCTAAACGGTTCTGATGCGTTTTAAATGGATCTAGACATCATTCTGGAACATTCTAAATGGTTCTAATCAGTTCTAATCCGTTCTAATCGATTCTAGACAATTCTAAATAACTATAGAGCGTTCTAAATGGCTCTGATGCGTTCTAAATGGTTCTAGACATCATTCTGGAACATTCTAAATGGTTTTAATCAGTTCTAATCGATTCTAGACAATTTTAAATAACTATAGAGCGTTCTAAATGGTTCTGATGCGTTCTAAATGGTTCTGGACATCATTCTGGAACATTTTAAATGGTTCTAATCAGTTCTAATCGATTCTAGACAATTTTAAATAACTATAGAGCGTTCTAAATGGTTCTGATGCGTTCTAAATGGTTCTAGACATCATTCTGGAACATTCTAAATGGTTTTAATCAGTTCTAATCGATTCTAGACAATTTTAAATAACTATAGAGCGTTCTAAATGGTTCTGATGCGTTCTAAATGGTTCTAGACATTATTCTGGAACATTCTAAATGGTCTTAATCAGTTCTAATCGATTCTAGACAATTCTAAATAACTATAGAGCGTTCTAAATGGGTCTGAAGTATTCTAAATGGTTCTGAAGCGTTCTTAATATTTCAAGACAGTTTTCAATGATTCTGGAGCATTCCAGACTATCCTGTACAGTTCTAAACGATTCATTTAGTATGAAAACTTTTCACCCTACCCTTGTAACTTTCTAAAGTTACCCCACAATTTTCCCTTAAGGAACGCAGTGGCAAATCCAATCGGTATCTAACTTTAAAAAATGTATATATTCAATACTTTCATCTCTATAATTCCTCATAACTTTTTTAGTATTTTTTTCGTACACCCTGTATATGTAGCAGCACCTCCAGACACGAGGACGCGATCGCACCCTTTCCCCCCCCTACGGGTGATTTAACAACGTAATGGCAAAGACGAATAACGCAATTTGTATAGGCAGCGAAACTAATTGCAGCTCGGACAGTGTTTTAATGAGAAGCGGCTAGAGTGGTAGCCCTGACACCTAGGGGAATATGGATTGCGATTTTGGTAACCCTGACGTATCGCCGTTTCCGCTTTTCTAAGAGACTTTCCCCATTTATTACCGTTCGATTTCCATTGCGGAGGCGAAATAGTTTTCGGT